GGCTGGGCACAGACAGCAGATGCTGTATCAGCGCTGGGGACGTGGGGAGTTACAGACAGGGCCCTCCTGCCAGCCGTGGTCCAGCTCCTCCGGGTCAGCGCGGTCTCCATGCCCAGGGGATGCAGCCGCAGGGCTCGCAGATTACCAGCGTGGTGCACCCCTTCCTCTGCAATAACAGCACGGTGCACCTTCCTCTGCTGCGCACAGGCACGAGGGTCTCTGGTCACATCGGCACGCACCAGAACAGGTTTATGTTTAAAAGGCCTTTCACGCTTCTCCTCCCCAGGAGAGCAGGGCGGGCAGACACGGTTGAGAGAAGCTTCCGGCACAATTAGCACACCATCATTTATCTCTGCTCTCGCTGAGGGAGTTGGCTGCACAGCGCCATCCCCATCCAGGCCGGGGACTTCCTCGCCCTGGCGCTGTCCCTGTCCCCGTGGCTGTGTCCCCAGCGCAGGGACGGGGACAGCCGGGGTGCAGGGCAGCGCAGTAACGCTCATCACATACCCATCAGTGAGGGTCCTCAGCGAAGCCAGCTCCCAGGTAATGTTTCTTAACTTTGGGGAAGTTGTGTGGAATATAATAAAGGTGCAGCATATAATTAAAGTTCAGATGTATTAATTAGGGAATCTGAGAGAGCTCGCCCGGAGATAAAAGAGGAGCAGATGTGGTAGTGATGAGAAGTTGACGTGCTGTAGAGGAAACCTGAAATCAAAAGCCCATGAAATGTTTCATGCTCTATTATTGCCGAACGAATCCGCAGTTCAAAGTCTTCCCGACTACTTAGCGCATTCAGTTTGATCATCTGGGCATTGATAGTGTTTTGCTTTCCCATTTCTCATGCCTGCCTTCTCCTGGCCGCTGGTCGGGTGAGGATGCGCCCCTGCACGTCAGAGGAGCGCAGCGAGGAGCGGCTCTCAGCCACGCACAGCCCCGTGTTAATTAACACTGTTCCTTATTAACAGAGCCCTCAGAAACGCGAGAGCACGCAGCTGAAATGGTCAGAAAAATACCAACCCTTTCATTGTTTCATTGTAAGGTCTCGGTGGAGTCCTTCACGCCTTGGAACGGGTGTTTAGTGCGATGCTCTCATTCCTGTGCATTTACTGCTGTCTTGGAGGTGGGATTGCAGTGCTGCTGCCGTGTATCCGTAGAGGAGGAGTAGCGCAGGTCAGGGCCCGGGAAGGAGGTGGGAGCCGTTGGGGTGCTGGTGGTATTTACCCACTGAGCGCAGCAGGGCCCCCACACAGCCCCTTCCACGTTTTAAGTGTATTCATAGAAGCCCAGGACAGCACCACCGTGTCTCCCCTGTACATGTAAACCGTGTTTTGTTGTGGAAAGCGTGCAGTTTATTTTCCTTATGCCTCTCCCATTCCATCTCTCTCCCATTGACTAATTTATGCCGGGTTTTGTTTCTTTATTTCCTTTGGTTTTTAGCGCTGCAGAAGGCAGAGGGGGGGCTGGGGGCCCGGTCCTGGGGATGGGGCTGGGGGCCGTGCCCA